ATGGAGACCCTTCTTTAATCCTGATCTTAAAATGGGATATGATTGATATAAATGCTCCTAATAACAAGTTAGGTCAATTTGGTTTTAATAGCTAATGTTATTTTGTCCTTTTAAGTGCTTGCCAAACTTTGATTGATGGGATTGGCAGCTTATTCTGATTGGTGGTATTGATGTCAGTGTATATTTTTGGCATAACAATTATATTGTCCTCTTTAATTGACTCATAAATCAAATTAAAGCACTTTTTACTCCCTTTACATATTGGATTCTTAGGTATTCATCACTTGGAATTAAATTATTCGCTACTTTTTCAAATTCATCGCACTTGGGTAACTGATAACTTGGAAATTGATTTCACAAGGCGTTTTATTAAGTTTTTATATTAGACTGCCAATAGAACCCTCATTAGTGGGTGTCAAATGGAGCAATTCAGATTTCTCAATCAATAATTCAAGAAAATGCATGGATTACTAGAAAAAACCCCATTCTTGATGGATAATAACTGTTCTTGACAGTTCTTTACCTGTCAATGAAACCATGTCAACAAAGGGTGATAATTGATTTTGAACAGTTAAAAATTTCTTGACAAATCTCTTGACAATTATAACCTATCAAGGATTTGACCGAATTTTAACAAATCCTTACAGTTTTCAAATTGTCAAAGAGATTTTAACCAAAAAAAAATTTAGTAATAATAATAATCAAATTTTATTAATAATGATATTCCATCCTTGATAGTCTTAAAACTGTCAAGGATTTTTTTTGTAAATATATTTTTTTAAATATTTTTATTTTGTAATTAATTAATTTTTTTGTAATTTATTACCTATTAAATAATAGAATAATGCAATGAAATTCTTCATAATATTCCTCAACCAACAAAATAAATGTAAACATTCAACAATCTTTTAAGCATACTAATTAAGTAAACTCAACTCAACAATAGCAGTATATCATTCAACAAAAGTTTAATTCATATTTTTTTCCCTTGTTATTGCCTTGACATCAATGAAATATCAATAACTAAAAAAGGTTCAATACGTACATCGCCCATTCTCCTTTAATTTCATCGATCTCTGCAGCTGTGTATATTTCGTTCCCTAGAAACTGCAAGATGTACATTCTCCTTTAACTTCATCGATCTCCGCAGCTGTGTATATTTCTTTCCCTAGAAATGGCAAAAGATTAAATGTAGATAAATTCAATATATATACAACTACAAAACATTGATGAAAACCCAATTCTCACCTTCAATCACAACTCACTCAGATCCTAGGAAAACACAAATTCCAGAATTCCACAACCAACACAGATAACAATTTAAGATAAACACAATAAGCAACATAGAACAATCAAACAAATACTCTTCAATATGTATATCAATATTGGTAGTAATTCAACCAATACACCAGTTTAACACAACCTAAGATTATCAACACCATTCAACATTCATGTTTAATATTCTCAAAACCCCTTAATCATTATACAATAAACCAACACTGTTGTCTTTCTTTTATAAAATGTTCAGACTTCTAATCCTTTATCATGTATTCAAAATCCAATTCAAATTTACTTTATAAGAGATTATCTTACATTTAAAATTCGCGAATTCATGATATGATAATATTTCAGATTCATTAGAGCTAAGATTGAATTGTCTCTAGAATAATAAACAAGAGAGAATTCGAACAATAATCTAAGCGGAAACCTTATTGCTAGTCAGAAATCTCAAGCACCTCAACTTATGATTATTTTAATTTAGGCTAATTTCCTTATGAAACAATAAACAAGAAACATTTTCTACAACTAATAATCATAAAAATTCAACTAACAATCACTTCAACTAATAATCATAGAACGAAAAGTCTGCAGTATACTTGTGAGTTGTGACCATACTCAATAGTGTACTATACCAACATCATAGAATAACATCTGCATTAACTATACATCCTAATCAACGTTACTTATTCAAATCCAAATGGAAAGTAAACTTACATGGTTTTTTAGTACTGCCAACCCATTGTCAACTATATCTCTCATGTATCTCATTACATAAAACCCACATTCAACGCTTCCCGATTAGATTGGTCCTTACACAATATTAATTTGAAAGTAAGCATTATTCAAAAGGTTAAAAACTATTATAATGGAAAATTAATTGCTATTGATAATAACAATTCTATGCACCAATCCTTTTTGTCAAGTGATAGTAGCCCTTTTTTTGGACATCTTACGGGTAGAATGAATGAAGATACCATTGTGAAAGTTAAAACAACTTCTAAATTTATGAGTAGAAATTTATATTATATAAAGCATAAAAAATGACATAAGTAGGGCTACCAACTTTTGCACCACTTCTTGTAAATCATGTCCCATATCTCCCTTCAAGGGATCAAGATAGTACACAGTTAAAGTCTTCATGTTAATACCAACAAGAAAATGAAACCTATTAAGAAATCTAATAAGTACCCAACAGAACAACCACAAAGAAGCAATAAAATAATCACCAAGCAAGAACCCAGTGTAAGGAAATCAATGAATTACTAACCCTAGGTTGTATGGAACTATAATTAAATTCTCGTTTTTAACAATTGTCAACCGATTGGCAAGCAATTGTGCCCTTTGAGTTCTTGTTCCCATGGCATTACTGCTGCCTGCTATAGACAATGCGCTAGAGCTCATGAAACCAAATCCATTTCCATCGCCACCATTACCCTTCAGCTTCTCATATAAGGCCCTGCCCCAATTCAAAAAATACCAAAATAATAATCATACGCAATATAACACCCAATTAAGATTAAATCCTAATCTTCAAATGTGTTTCACATTCATTTTCAATGATTTATGTACATATTTCACATTTGTTTTAATTCTCCACATTCTCCTTTGTCCTATTCTATACATGCTACCATTATTAACTTCACATGCCTACCACCATACAACTCATTTGTTTAAAGATTTTCAGATCCTATCGGGTCAAATATTGGACAGTCCAGTCCAGCCCATTTATTTACACAATTGAATGGCCTATGTACATATACCTCAATCACCTAAATTTCTCCAGATTTATGAATCTATACCTCAATAATATTAGCCTGGTCCTTCCCTGTCAAAACCCCTTCAAGGCCCCACGACTGCTCTGTCTCTCAGCCTTGCTCAGCCACAGCCTCAGCCCAAAACGCAGCCTTCACCCACACACTATCTCCTACTATATTGTTTCTTTTTTTCGAAAATTACAATCTGAAATTCTTTCTATTTGTCCTTAAAAATGGGGTAATGCGAAAATTCTAGTTTAAATATTTAAGGTAAGAAAGGTCACAACAGGTAATAAGAGAAATTCCTAGATAATAAATGTGAGAATGTACGAATAAAAGCAAGTGGGTGTGGAGTGTTAGATAGATAGGTCCACAGCATAATACAATAGGCGTTTTAAGTTTGAAGTTGAAATGTGATTGGTAAATATATGACTGTGTATAAACATTTCAACATTAAGTAGTCCTTTTGTTGAAGTGTAAGAGGCACCGTCTCGTTAAAGTAGTCCTAAGTACTTACATGACATAACAAAGAAAATTCACAAAAAGTCAGCAGAAGTAGGAACACAAAGGATGCGAAGAAGATTCATCATTCTAACAGGACTTTTACTTTGGAAAAGGGGTACTTTTACAATACGGTACGAAATAGCCAAAGAAGATTCACAAACCAGAGAAATGAAAGCACTTCCACAAAGCAAAAAAAAAAAAAAAGGGGAGTTCAGCAACTCAATCAATAAACACATAAACAAATAAATCAAGGATTTCAAGCAAAGAAACGATGAAAATCAGTTGTGAATAATAAATTTACACACATTTTTAGGGTTTCACAACAATGCTATTAAGGAAATTGAAAGAAAGTGATGGTGAATGCCTACCAATTGAGTATTTTTCTCCCTTGAGTTCACTGTGAAAGCAAGAAGTAATATATGGAGAAGAAGAGGCGAACGGATGGAGAAGTCCAGATTTCAGCCGTCAAATGATGAAGACGAGGCGAATGGAGTGGAGAAGTCAATGATTTCAGAGAAAATTGGAGAAGAGGAGGAGGACGGAATGGAGAAGTAGAGTGCGTCGTCGGCCGGGGGGTTTTAGTGGTTTGGGGATTTTGTATGGATAGTGGCGACAAGAAGTGGAGAAGTTAATTTTTTTAAATTTTACTTTTTCTAATTTTTAAGGGTTCAATTTAAGTTTAATTTTTTGAGCAAAATTGTTTAATTTTTATTTTTAATAAAACCGGGTTTGGAGTTTTGTGTCTTTAATTTTTGACTTAGGGACTTTTAAATTTAAATTGTTTGACTTTAAAATTTTAAGGAAAAATTGTTTAGTTTTTTTTTTTTTTTTTTTTTAATAAAATCAGAAATTTGGTTCTTTGTATTTCTATGAACCAAAATTGAACCAATTTACCGGATATCCAGAAAACCAATTCGGTTCGATTTCGACATTTTTCTTAACACCTCTACATTTGAGTGTTGAGGATACGCCTCTTCAGAACTTACCGAAGTTAACAATTTTTTCGGAAGAGGCACGGTGTAAGCGCCATAGTCGGTGAGTGAGTTGTCATCTACTGAACGAGAGTGGCAGAAATGAGAACTTTTTTCCAGTGCCGAAAATTGGTCAACTACGAGAGTTTGCACAAATGAGTGAAATAGCGGATATGCATAAGTTTTTGAGAAAAAATAGTGGGAATAGTTAATGAAAAATAGGCGGGAAAAGTTTAAGGCAAATTTTTTTTTTCTTGGACTAATTGTTGACAGTTAATAATTGTCAAGAATCAGCTAAAACGGTTAATGATTATTTTAAATTCTTAACCATTTATAAACTGTCAAAAATCAAGAAAATCTGTCAACTCATTTTGTCAAGAAAGGAAGTTTTTCTTGTAGTGGTTGCTAGTGATGAAAGGGAGGACATTTGGGTATAACACAATTCTTAACTTAGTAAGAGTTATTGATTTTTCCAACAATAATTTCTAAGGAGAGATTCCAGAAGAATTGAAAAATCTTGGAGCATTGACATCATTGAATTTATCACACAATCATTTTACTGGTAGAATTCCAGAGAGTACTGATGTTATAGAATCGCTGAAGTCCATTGATTTTTCTGGAAATAAGTTGTCTGGTAAAATTCCACAAAGCATTTCAAATCTGTCTTTTTTATGTTCCTTGAACTTCTCCAACAACTTCATTGGAAAAGTTCCTCTGTCCACTCAGTTACAGTCCCTTGAGGCATCTTGTTTCACAGACAATGAGCTTTGTGGACCGCCACTTACCGAGAACAGTACTGTAACTATTCTGATATCAGACCATGATAGTGGAGGAGGAAATGATGATGGTAGTGAACATGAAGTTGACTGGTTCTACGTAGGCATGGCACTTGGATTTATGGTGGGTTTCTGGGGTGTAATAAGTCCTTTACTTATCAACAGGAGGTGAGGGTTATGCATTTTCATTTCTTAGAGAGCCTTTGGATCAAATTTTGCACTGTTGCCAGAAAATGTTTCCAGTTGTTTTAGTTTTAGAGCTATAGCTAGCTTTTTACTAATCAAGTGTTACAGAAAAATAAATAAAAGAAGTTGATGTTGGCGATTGCATTATTGAAAATATTATTTAGTTCCTGCGTGTATGCATACTATTTTGCTTGATACATACTCTCTTGTTTATTATATCCCCATAACACCTGCTTTTATTTTTTCCATGAAATGAATGATTCAAGATCTGAGTTTCTATCTTACAGAAGAAAACGAAAAAAAACTTGAAATTATATTGCATATTATATTTTGTTATATGGAGCTGGTCTTACATAACCATAGTTTTTCTTTAACCTAATGTAATTTCTTAAACCACTTCGAAGAGTATCACTTTGATGTTCTACAGGAAAAAATGATAGCTTGAATAGGTCTCTCAAAATAGTAAATTGCAACGCAATAAAGAAAAGGTAGGTTACGAAAGCAAACCTACTAATGACCAAAGCGACTCTGTTCACATCTCTACATCTCTATAATGAGACAGGTAAGAGATTGAGGAATATGCCATCATCATGCAAACCATGGAAATATTCACATCAACAACCCCGTCATCATGCAATGACATGAAGAACTTCTTTCCTGCACGCGACCGTGCATAAAGAGATTCAAAAACACCTAGCGCTATTATAGTCGATAGCAACCTTATTGCATGCACGAAACCAAATATATCAAAATAATTTAGCTTCATCATGATGCGGTAGCGGTGGACCCGGAGGATTCTTGTGAACAGAGAAACTGATCGGTCCTGCTGTAAATACGAAAGAACTGATAGATGAGTATGCTGTGCATAGGAGAGCCGAATATTTTATTGTCGTAAACTATATCCACAGTAAAATAAAGACAAAAATCTATCATAGCCCCATACCATACCACCACTTGTAAATACACACAAACAACGGAAATACTGGTTCAATTTTCCGAGGCTTACCCTCAAGCACTCAAGATACACATTCTCTCGTATGTTTCGACTCCGAACCTGCTTATATAAATAAATGTTATGTTATGAGACATAGCAAGCGCTAAAACAAGAACTTAAAAGAAATAGAAACGAAACAACTTACCAGGAGATAATATAGGAGAGGAGAAAAAAGATTTCAGAACATCCAAACTTGGAAAAGCTGAGAGCGACTCACTAGTATCATTCCTTGAAGAGTAATCATAATCCCATTTGTTAAATGGGTCGATTTTGTGCAAAAGTTTTGCTATCATGGCGAGTGGCTGCTAGAAATTACAAGCAATCGAAACCCTAACAATATTGAGAAGAAAGAAGAAACTCCTCTCAGAACTCTTACGAACCTTAGAGTCCGCTTGAGAGTTTCATGGTAACGGTTATAAGGATAAACCATTGTAACAGTTTTGAGGGTTTTTAGTAGCGGTTTTTAAAACACTCAATCTATGCTTAGGAGTTTATATTCCAACGGTTCTGATAGCTTTTTAAAATGATAAATTTACATATATATTCATAAAAATACCTCAACTTCAACCAGTATTTGGGAGTTTAATATTTTTTAATTACAAAGTAAGAGTTCTTTATTAATTTTGTACTTATTAATATTTTATAACTTTAAATGTGCAAAGTCTTGTTATCATTTTTCCCCATTCTTTGCAGAATCTGGAATGATTGAAAAATTGTAACTCCACTTCTCCAAGAAAGCAGCTAGAAATGAGATTTTAATATTTTTCTTTTTTTATGATTGCTTAAAATTATTTTATATTTAATATGGTTAGAGATGCGGATAATATAGTAATTTTTTTGGACATAATTGGGATAATTTTGTAGTATTTAGAGTATTTGTGGAATAAAATTTTAAAACCAACCAAAACATCTTGATTTGGGGTGTTTTATAAACCCCTAAAAAATACACTACATTGGTTTCTTAGGATTTTTGAGCCAGTCAAAACCAGTGCATAAAAAATCTGGAAAGTAATGGTTGTAGAATACGTCAAAACCAGTGTAATTAAAAACCCTTCAAAACCAATGGAAAAAAAACTACCAAGCCGACCCTTAGAAAATCTTATATTTATATTTTATCCTAGAATTTGTTATATTTTTTGGAACCCTTTTTATAAAATAGTTTACATTTTTCCCCTTCCATAAATTTTAGTTTGGCCCCTAGTTTGAAAATTGGTAGCCCATAACAACCTTTAAATTTATAAAGAATTTGTTAGTTGTTTGATTAATAAAAAGTATAAGAGGCCGTTATAAGTTTACATATAACAAGGCCTTTACATATAGGTGCAAAGAAGCATATAACATTTTACTGTATATTGATTCATGATATATGTCTAGTGACTAGAGCTGGGCATTTGGGACTTGGTCCAAAAACCCAGCCCAAAAACTCAATCTTAGGACCGGTCCTTGAGATGACTAATCCTAGTAAATGTGGTCCCAAAACCGGAACAGGCCTAAGGAGGAGGGCTCAGTCCCTCCATTGGGCCCTCCTCCAAGGCCTAGACTTGGGCCCAAACCCTTTTGGTTTATTTTTTTAGCCCTCTGGACAATTGCATAAAACCCTTGTAAATTTTGAAATAGACAGAAATTGTAGGGATTAAAAAAAATTGTACAAAATTAAAAAAAAAAATCATTTAATAACCGTTGGCTATGGGCCTTGAAAATTACTAATCTACCCCTGAAAATTACATGAACCCCGCAACAGAATTTCATTTCGCTCTTAAAATATAAAAAAANTATGTCTAGTGACTTATGATCCAGAGTTTTAATGCTATGTGAATTGAGTTTTTATGCTTACATATTCCAATTGACTAGGATGACAGGTTCATATGATCTCGTTGTAAAACATTTATCTGTAATCTAAACAGAAATACAAAGAATATAATATTCTTAAACTATAAACCAGGAATCAAGAATTACCTCCAGTCATTGAAACAAACTCATGCAGGTGTATGTTGGCTCTTCTAAGCTCTCAAGACACTATAATATTGATGGTGTATAATTTAGTATAATCGAGTTCTTGAGTTTAGGGACCAAAATAATATACATAGCCAAGCTTCCATCAAGCTCTTAATGACATGCTTAATGGTTGTCATAAATCCCAAACGTTTGAAAACTGAAGCATTTGAAAACTGAACAACTAATGTAGACCATCAAGGTTTAAAACTGATGAAAATCAAAAGATTATTTACGTTACTTGAGTCACGTAATGTAACGTAAGTTTTACACTTGTAATTTTTATTTCTCATGAAGTTCTTGACTCGGACTTCATGAAAGTCTTCTTCATTCAAAATACGTGTAACAATTATATTTAAAACATTAATGAAAAGACACCAACCCCAGTAGTTGGTAGGTAATGTGCAAGGGATTATATTGAGTTTTATTGATTACAAATTGACATCAAATTGGTTAGAGAAAAGAAAAATAAAGTAGATTAGAGTTTTATTGGAATGGTATCAATCAAAAGACAACATTAGTATTTATTATATTTATTTATTTAAATATAATTAAGTTCTTTAATTAGAGAACTTTATTCTATAATACATCATATTAGACAAAATTATATTTTTCATCCTAACTTTATATAAACATATGTATATATAAAGTTAGGATGAAAAACATAATTTTGTCTGAACTTCTTGGTGAATTTATGAACAATAGCAGGAGCCTTTTGGACATTTTGTATCGTTTGGATCTTGACAACAAAAGCCTTTTCCTCCTGGGCAATCTCGATGGCAATCATCATCATGATAGCAATAATCTGGTCGAACAAACCCAGCTTCAATTATTGGTAAGTCAACCAATAATATACCTGTAATTAAATTAATTAAAACTAATTAAACACATGAAATTAAAATCATAGACATTAATTAATAGCATGTGAAAAAAGAAGAGGAAAAATGAATGGACCAATTACATGAGGTTGTGACAAAGAGGACAATCAAGAATGCCAATTTAGGTGAAATCTTCTCCATTTTCTTCTATGTAAATTAAGTTGTATAAAAGGAGCTTGTACTGAAACACGATGTGCACTCTACTACTTCGATAACCTTTATTTATAGTGATATAATTAGCAAAGGAATACAACCATAATCCTAATTACTAGATAAGATTATAAAAGCTCTTCTATCTGTAGAAACTGAATATAAAAAATACCATAATGATGTACAAGGATAACAACTTTCACCACTTATATAACGAAGGGGATTAGTTTAACAAAAAATTTAGGGATGGGGTGGGAAAGGAATTATAATGACTTTTTTCATTGTAATCCGCTTCACACCCTTCAAAAATAGTTTGATTCACTGGACTTGAATCTCAAATAATTTGTCAGGTCCATTGCCTCTCACACCCTTGGCCTTTAACATCCATAAACTCGACCTTTCCAACAACAGTTTGTCAGATCAATTTCTCACTTGTTGTGTTATGAGATGATTGAGGCAAATGCTCATCCTTAGGAAAAACTTCTTCCACAGACAATTGCCAGATTGTTTGGCGAATAGTTGGCAAAACTTAATTGTCCTAAAATTAGATAACAACAAAGTTACTGGTGTTCATATAAACAGCTCTCTTGGACCTGTCGGCCAAGGTAAGAGTCTCAATGGTCATCCTTGCTTGGGAAGACTAGAACTCAAGAACACATAAAATCTCATTTTACTCTTTTGCTATCAAGTCACCTAATGGTAGTTAATACTTAATAGATGATATGTTACTATTATATTTCATATAAATCTTTAGCTTCATTAATATCACCATGTCTTCTGGTTTTCACCTCGTTCACTACTTTTTTTAATTTTTGGCTTCAATCCCTCAAATTTTGTATCTGCCACATTTGTGAGCTTGGCACTTAGATCTGTTGTCGATCGGTTTCTGTAATATAGTAGGTCCTTTACTTATCAGGAAGAGTTAGAAATACATCGTTTCTTGGATTGCATTGATTCATGTTTTGATTATTG